TGTGAAATAGGAAGAAAAGGGGCAAAGGGGAAGGGGAAGTGGGAGGGGTAGGGGAAAGGAAAGAAGGGAATGAAATTAATATGAGAAAATGAAAAAGTGGAAACAAAGTCTTTGTAAATAGGGAGGGACGGAGGGTTGAAGGGAGGGCAGGGGAAGGGGAAAAAATAAGAACCAAGAGAGACTATGTAAAGGGGCAAATTTCCAATGATGAATGTCATTATATTGTATACCTAAAATGTACCAATAAAATTTTAAAAAAGATATAATGCTGTGTAACACACAATAAATATTCTTCCTGATGTGCCATGGTTTTGATGAGGGGGTTCCCTGACCTGCTCATGAAACTTCCATCCTTATTTATCTTCTTGCCATCAGGCTTGAAGTAAGAGGAGTGGTTATGCACCGAGGCACCCATTCTTGGACTGGCTGAAGGTTGCCACCAAGCATACTGCCTCCCAAGTCCTCTACTCTACAATCAAGTCTTTCAATCACCCAAGAGGCCTTCAAATCAAATGCATTTTTATTCTGAGTTTTCCCTCTAGTCATGTATCTTTCAAATTCTTCTCTTTTTATGAATTCCTTACAGTTTCCTTTCTTCCTGCTTTCAAACCACAAAGGGTAACCTATCTCTAAAAAACTCCTTTTCTTTGATCTCTCACTTTATTCTCCAGGTAAGCTTCTAAAATGCATGCTCTCTAGCTATGGTACCAATACCCTCATGTCCACTGCCTCTTTAAACCTAGTAACTGACCTCTGTTCAGATCCTTCCACTCAAACTGCTCTGGAAACCAAGTGTCTCTACAGTGTAAGGATAACTTCCCCATTCGGCCCAGGTGCTCACTGCTCCCAATGACCAAGCGGCCCAGCTCATAAATTTGGCTTCCTACTTCAGCAGGGAACAAAGACTCTTCACAATTTGCCATCAAGCTGCCTTTCTGGCTTTGCTCCCCATTGATCCAATATATAAATCCAATGCTCTATTTGCCCTGAATTCACTCCTTCACTTATTCTAATATTTACCGAATGTTCGTTCGCCAGTGCAGAAAGTATGCTTTTCCAACTCCTATTTGTAGTCTGTTTCCATCTAAAATTGCAAGAGCAATAGAAATAAATGCCACTTTTTTTTTCTTTTTTACAATGCTGAGGATTGAACCCAGGGCCTTCAGTATGCTAGACAAGCACTCTACCACTTAGCTATACCCCCAGGCCCCAAGTGCCGTTTATTTTTATTGCTTGTTGAGTTTTAGATGGAAACAGACTATGAATAGGAGTTGGAAAAGCAAAAATAAAATTGGAAATAGTATACTCCACACTACTCCTATATTATGCTTGTTGCTGTCAAATGCATCATTAATAATATGACTTTTAAGTAAGAAGTTTGGAAAATTTAGCTGGCTCTGATATTTGTTCAACCAAGTGGCAAAATAGGTCTAAAATATGAATTATTCAAACTACTGAAAGAGAGTTGCACAGATAATCCAAGACACTGGAAAATCAAAACACTTTTCTATTTGCCTTTGGAACATATGTGATTTTTTTCCTCCTGCAGCTTTTTACCTAGACTAATATTAAAATGAATTTACTTTCTTAAAGCACATATTGCCTGGGCAGCTGAAGGACACGCTCTATGCTATTTGGCAGGAAGAAACAGGCTTAGATTAAAATTTGGCCACAGTGCAGATAATCTGAATATAAATAAAGAATTCTTTATTCCAACCACCAGACTTATGGTGAGTCCTGGGTTAAAAGATTCCATTTGGATTAAGATCTGCTTGCTCGAGTGAATCTTGAATTCATTCAAAAACATAAAATACGGTTCATGTAGTGAAATTTTTCTCCTAACACTGTTGATCACCTTAAAAGAAATAAACTAAAGAAATTACCAAAAAATTATTTAAAAACATGAACATTTTATTTCAGACTTTCCTCTCAATTAACACACACACACACACACACACACACAGTTGATTAACAAAAAAATAGCATACTTACATTTAGTCTCTACTGCATTTAGATGCAAGACTTGGTAAAGTTTTGTCCAGACATTTTTACTAAAATAAAATCTAGTTTCTCTTCTAATAATTCTGGCATGACTACATATCGGCATGGAATCAGAAACTGCAGATCACAAATCACCCAGTTTTATCCACATAAAGTAAGACTTACATAATTCTTTAATCCACAGAGAGATGACTATACAAAGTAATTTTCATACTGACTACTATTAAATCTTATGACAGAGCTTCTAACAGCAACAAAGTCTTGTTCTGATTTGAATTCCTCTCTTCTTCTTTTTCTTGCTTAAGCTCTGTTGGAGATGCTAATGAGCCTTATTTCCACTAATGGCTGACTACTGCAGAAAATCAAAGGACTGAGACAATTCACATTGGACATGGGAGTACCTGAATCCAAAGGAAACTAATTCATTCCAGCCAATGAATAGACATGTTGAGGCAACACTAGAACCACAGAATCGAAAGTGCCGTGACTGTGCAAGTAGTACCCTCTCCAGAAAAAGTAAGGGTGAAAGCAAGTCAATCATTAAAATATTCTAAGGGCAAAACTAGAATGTCCAGTGTGACTTATGCCAGCACCCATCTGCCTGAGTCACTGTGCACCTTGTCTGACTAATAAGCTGGGTCCTATCAGATTAATGGCAGGCTGGTAATGTACCAGAAACTAGCCATAGGCATCTGCACGCCCTTTGTTAGGAGCTGAACTGGTACATCTGACTTCTGTCTCTACTCTCTTGCCTCAGAAAGGCCCAGCATTATCATTCCAAATAACCTCCAAGTTTTTAAGATCACACATTTCAATCTGATCATTACCAGTTACCTTGTTGACAGTTTAAATATATTAGCACAGATGTTTAAGCTGTCCATATAAACATCTCTACAGTACTGTGTATGTATACATTCCTATTATTTTATTAAACAAATCATGATTAAAACTTATTTTTGTACTTGTCATATATTTATGATGATGGGTTTTAGCCATGACACATATGGCATTAAAAATGTTAGTACTCCAGGGCCAGGGATTTAGCACAGTGGCACCGTGCCTGCCTTGCAAGCGCACGGACCTGAGTTTCATCCTTGGTAACAAAAAAAACAAAAACAAAAATGTTAGTACTCCAGAACCACTAAGATGAATCTAATGCAAAATGTAAAAATATATAGCCGTGCTGGGTGTGGTGGCGCATGCCTGTAATCCCAGAACCTGGGAGGCAGATGCAGGAAGATCACCACGAGTTCAAGGCCAACCTGGGCTACACAGTGAGTTCAAGGCCAGCCTGAACTACACAGTGAGACACTGTCTGAAAAAAAAAAAGTAAAAATAAGACATCATGTTAACATTGATGCACTGGTGCACAGGGCAAGGAAACTTACAGGACAATTTTTCCTTTAATGTAGGAAAAATAAACTATTATTATTATTAAATAATCTTCACTGAAGGGTCAGGGGTCCTGAAAACCCCTTTATTTGATAGAGCATGCTGCAGATGCATAGAGTCCTACTCCCAACAGAATAAAGAGCAGAATAAGAGTTTCCAATGTGCAAAAAGAACCCAAGTACCATGCAGAGGCATGCAAAGGTGTGCTCCAACTCTGGATGTTCCCAAGAACTAAATACAGAATGACCTAATTCCTGCATTGTGGTTGGCGATGTTCCCCAGATTTGGCTGGCAATGATTTCAGAATTTTTATTTAGTAAAAAATATAAAAGTATGTGTCACTGGACAAACTCCAAATAGGTCTATCCTCAAATTTTAAATTTAATTTATACTTCAAAGATGTCAGATTTTAAAGATTATTATCTAGTACATAAACTTAGAGGCTGTAAAACCTATCTACTCCATTTCTGTGCAGGGTGGGGCAGGGAACAAACCATAAAGATTAAAACGATGAGATAACTGCTAATGATCTGATCCTTTATCTGCTCTCTAAAAGGTAGTACAAAATTGTTTCCTTAGTTTCATTATCAAGTAGACTGCCATTCTTGTTAATGGAAACCAGAATGCAGCTGGTTCCTATCTCTGTCCCCATTTCTAAAAATATGGATGTCTGATTTTGATCAGTGAAATTACACATAAGAGACAGAAGAAATTTTCTGCAAAAGCAGGATCCAGGTTCTACATAAAAAGCAATTTATATTCAAAATCTTTTCATGCAGGCATAAATGTCAGTATCATTAGTATATAAGGTGCCCTAAAAGTCTTAGCACAATTATAAGCTTTAAAAACCTCTCAGAAGCACAGATGCTACAAAGTGACTAAAAGCATTACTTGAAAGTTTGCTTAATTATTTAACCTTTTTTTGAGATGGAGTTTTTCTATGTTGCCCAAGCTAGTCTTGAACTTGACCACTATAGCAATGTTCCTGCCTCAGCCTCATGAGCAGCTGGGACTACAGGTACATGTAGACACATCTGACTAATACTTCAATGTCTTCAACATTTGATCCCGTGAATTTTGAGAAATACATTTCTTTATCACTTCATTTGAGCCTTACGTTGGCGCTCTGTGAGTGCTCGTGAATAAAGCAAAGCTCTCCTATAGGAGGCAACATCCTTGTGTATTTAAAGGCCAAAAGTTTCCTTCATCACTAATATCAATGCTAACAGGGGTCTCAACACCCACTCACAGAAACAAGTCTACAACAGCCAGTGCCACAGAGGGCCGAGGCTGTACTTCTCAGAGGAAGAAATGTCTGGACAAGGAGTGAGGACCACTGGTAAGTAAGTACTGCACCATCTTTTTCCTTTCTTACTTATTTATGTGAACCTGTTTTATAGCATGCAGCAGTCAGCCTAAGACAATACAAAAATAAATCTCAACCAGGTGTAGCGGCACATGCATGTAATACCAGCTACTTAGGAGGCTGAGGCAGGAGCTTTTCAAATTTGAGGTGAGCCTGGATCATTTAGTGAGATTGTCATAAAATGAATTGGGATGGGGATGTATCTCAGAGCTCACTGGGTTCAATCCCCAGTACTGGTAAAAACAAATAAAAATAACATACTTTATTTACTCATTTGTTTTGCTGTGCCGAGGATTAAATCCAGGGCCTCTACCACTAAGCTACAGTCCAGCCCCTCACCCTGTATTTTTTAGCTTGACAAAAGGCTGTCATCTTTTACTTAACTTGGTTACCTGGTTGGTAACTGAGTAAGCAAACCTATCTATAGTCACGTGCCTCTATTCAAACACCCTTTACCATAAAAGCGATACGCAGTTCACAGTAAGTATAGTTTCACGTTAGTCCTCTTGACAAGCTTCGGGGACTGCTCTTTGCAATCATCTACATACCTGGAAAGGCACTATACCAAAATTATCACTTAGCTACCAAGGGCACAGAGATGAGGGCAAAAAGAGTCCGTGGGGTTGAAAATAGCTAGAACAATCTAAAAGGCATCTATTCCAAGATTATAACAGTACAGATCAATAAGTCTAACAAGAATAACGTGTGACTTCTTGTTCAACTGGAAATGTGGGTTATCTTACACAAAATGATAACAGTGATATGGAAAGAAGGAAGCATTGATCCTTGTACCTTATAAGTGGCTTATCTTAGCTATTTCTTCTCGTTAAGAGAATATCATCCTATTTTTAAAGTGAGTGCTCCAATGAGTTTTTTAAAAATAAGACTCTTGGCTGTAAAAACTACAGAACAAAAAAATTCTGAAAGGCATTACACAACTGTGTCTAGAACATGGGTACTCAGCAAGTTGACTAGAGCACATGGGAAGATCTTACAATAGTCCATGGTTACTGCTACTATTCCCTCTGATTTCACCCACATGTATGTCAGCATCCAATTGCTCAACTTCAGGTGTAAGGAAAATGCTGAAGGCTCTTAAGTTAAGAGACCTAAACTAGGCTGGGTAAGACTAATAGTTCTGGGATGGGACCATAAGAATCAGGAAGTGTTACTATAAAAATGCAACCTTAGTGAGTACTGTGACAGAACACCCCAAAACTTTCAAAGACATTTCATACAACAGATCATGCCATTTAGAGAGTACCATGCTGGTCTTCTCTGCTAAGCCAAAAGTATGTAATACAAACTGCAAGCAGAGCACCCACAACTGATGTCCATTAGCCCAGCAACCCAGAGACTGTTGCTCACAGCAGCCAGCTGCTGACACACTACTGCATCATCCCATCTCCCCAGGCTGACCTAACAGGAGCTGGAAATGAAAGGGAAAGTACCAAAAGGGTATGCACGCTTCCAAAGGAAACATACATGGCTTCTCAGTGATCTTGATCAAAATTATGTACCCCTCTCTCCAGAATGCCCCTCTATGGGAGCATGAAGAAAAAGTTGAATACATTTTAAATTATCTCAATACTTGTAATGATGCGTTTTCAAAGGGGTCATACTCTGATATACTTTTGATCTTATTTCACTTTTTACCATGAACTGAGATCAGACAGTTGCGCTGTATCCGGAGAGAGCATGCCGGGGGCGCCTTGAAAGAATCTCTTCGGCTGGCTTTCTGTCTCCATCTCACCTGTATCAGAAAAATATGATACTACTGTAAAATAATTTTACAAATGCAGGATTGGTGCTGAAATAGGATGATCTTTATTTAATGAAAACTTAGAATACTTCTTCAAGCCATTACTTAAAAAACTATTTTTCTATGTGTTTTAACATTAAAAAAAATAGTTCCACATAACCTCAACCAAAAAAGTCAGCAGCCTTAAAAAACCTCATTTAGTATATGTAGCATGTTATATACACACATTCTTTAACAGAAGGGTATAATGTTGATTACAAGCAAAATAAAGATAATCAACAGTAAAAATATTCTCAAATAGCTAAAGTTCACAGTGAATATTTTATGCTAGATGGTTAACAAAGATGACTTTATATACTTTAATATCTGATCATCTCCTGAGATGACATCATATGGGTTAAAAATGTGCTGTCTGTTAAATAGTGTATAAGTAAAAGGTTGCGCTACTTCAAATGAAGATTAAAAATGTAAGTGTGAAAGCACACCTGCAATTGAAAGCAACTCCTATTCAATTAACAAGTTTGGTATTGTACTGGCTAAGTCAATCCTATAGATTTTCTCAGAGCTAATAATAAAACTCGGAACCAAAAGGAATAGTGTTAAACATTTTATTATCAGCTAGTGAGGGTTGTCTAACAACCCTAGGTTAGACAGAAGAGGCCTCTAAGTAAGTAAGTTCTTGAAACTCTATCTGCACTTGAAAATAGAATGTTAATGACATTTGTTGTTGTTGTTGTTGTTTGTTTTTTGGTACCAGGGATCGAACTTGGGACCTTGCGCTTGCAGAGACAGGTGGCGGAACCATTGAGCTAAATCCCCAGGCCTGTAATGACATTTTAATTAGTGGATCTATCTATACTCTAAGAAGAAATTAATAACTGACTTTAGAACTATACAAGATTCTAACGACAGAAAAAGATTAAATAAGAACAAACACAACATTTCTCCATATCACTAATTAATTAGTAGTATTGTCTTTTATCTGGAACTATTCTAAAAATTACTGAAGTTCAGAAAAAGTTATATCTGTGTTTACTTTTTCCCTATCCTTTAATAAAAATATGGTGAGGTTTCAACTCCACCTCACTAGCAAAAGACTTCAGCCCTTTTAAACGAAAGAATCCCTCCATCTGCTGGTATATTTTGGAATAGCTATGAAACTAAACAACCATACTAATTCCATTAATTTCCAGCAACAAATAGTAAGTTAACAGTAACAAGAGCTTTATTTACAAGTGTTATTTCTATTTAATTGGCCTGAGAACATTCTTAAGATTGTAAATAACTCCTTGCAAGATTAAACAAAAAGACTCTTTATAACATAAAACATATTCACTAAACACAAACCTTGTTACTATATTAGGATCTGTTTTCCAGATCACATCACCTTTAATTTTAAATTGCCTAAAATATAGCACTTTTTGAGTCTGTATGTGACCCTATCATTGGAAATATTTCACCAAAGCCAACAAATATCCATTCTCTTAATATTAGGTGTTAATTTGTTTATTGGCCCTGAAGATGGTCTGTAGAAAGAAACTACTTACAGGATTGCTTTTTTTTTTTTGGTACCAGGGATCAAACTCAGGACCTTGTGCTTGCAAGGCAGGCAGCGGAACCAATGAACTAAATCCCTGGCCCAAGGATTGCTTTTTAAAATTCATTGTAAAACTCTTGTTTGATTAACATGTGATTCTCAAAATCATACAGTCATATCCTCAGGAATAATGACTAAACCAGTGTTAATTTGTTTTCCCTTTTTATGCCATCTGGTACATTCTGTAAGTATCTGAAACTGTGCTGACTCATTAGTCCTTTTTTGGCTCAAAATAAGGTAATTAAGAAAGCACTCTATTATACCAAAACTCTACAGATATGAATAATGTGTTTAGGTGTAATTTGGTGTAAATCTCACCTAATATTTGAACATACCATATGTTTACAGATATATTTGCTACGACACTATTATATATATTTCTGCATCATAACAACTATGCATCTTTTCTACATTCAGATCAGTGAGAGGCAATGATTTTGGAATATATACTGTCACTACGGATATGATCCAGGTATAAGAAAATATAGGCATTATCAGGTAGCTAATTTACAAAACTTAGAACAGTATTGCATATGTTGGGAATACTTCACATTTCTTTAGAAAAAGAGGAAAGCAATGATATGAGCTCATTTCAAATAGAAATCCTAGCTTTTAATTTAAGCTTCACTCACTTTAATATCAGAAGTGTGATGCATCTTTTCTTTTTTTCCTCCAGCTTTATTGAGGTAAAACTGACAAAACTGTATATTTAAGGGGTATATGATTTGATATGATGTATATTTTCAGTACGTATACTGAAAAATGATGATCACAATCAAATTAGTTAACACATTTATCACCTCACATACCTTTTCCATGTGTGATAAAAACATTTAAAATGTACTCTCCTGGCAGGTTTCAAGTACACGGTACTGTCCACCACAGACATTATGCTGCTACATACCTTTTCTTTTAAGAGGACCAAGAACACTGGGTCTAATGCACTTCACTGGACTCTGACTTCTCCTGCTTTAGTGAATAAACAAACAGAATGAGGTGAAGTACTTCCACGATGCAAGATAACCAGCCCACCAAATAAACCAAATAAATAAATAAAGTTTACCCTCATACAAGCAGAAATAGGAAGTGCTTGTGTAACAGGCTGAGTAACTGGAATGCTGATACATGATTTGACCGAGCAGATGGCAATTTGGAATAACATGCATTTTAAGCCACTTAAAAAAATCTTCTACAAGATAAAATACCCTAAACAGTTTAAAGGAAAAGATATCTTATTAAAAAGTTGTTTGGATTTTGAGTGACCTACAATCTTAATTGTTTTTTCCTTAAAAAGGGTATATTGTGGTATGTGTGAATGTATGTCTGTGTCCCCTCTCAATATAAATCAGCACAGAGTTTCAAAAAAACCAGAATCTGGTAAAATATTAATGGCAGAATATAGGCAGTGGGCATACACAGAGTCCACCAAAAACAAGTAGACACACTTCAGCAGTTTGCCATACTAATAAATGTCTGGAAGCTAATGGCCACCACTTTGAGCACCTCTTGTAACTACAGAGGCCAAAGGTAACATGTATTAATCTCATGATGTCTCAATTAATTTAGTATTAAAATATTTATCAAGTTTTTCTTTTCCTGGTGTTTACATTTTTTGGCAGACTACATGTTCACTGGGAAATCTTTTCAATTTTGCTGCATGTTTGAAAATTTCTATAATAAAATACTGAGAAAAAACTAATTTGAGAGATAAATGTAATGAGTGGCACTTCAATCACATTGAAATTTCAAGTTCACTTACGTTGAAAATCGTCTTGGATTAGAGACAGAACTTGATGGCAACCCACTGTTACTCACAAACATTTGCAAAGATGGCGAAAAGCACTGCTAGAAAAAATAATTGAATATTAGAATAGTTCTTATACTCCAGTTTTCAAAGGATTCTTTTGACATAGATTTTTATTCAAGATACTGTATACTTTAAAAGTGAGGTGATTTGTGGACAAAAATGTTTTAGGCAGTAAACTGCTCAGTGTATATAAAAAGACAGTTAATACATCATCAATGATCCTACCTTTCCAGATCCTCTGGTGGGTGAAGGTGCTGGGGAAACTGGAGTGAAGTCAATTCTCTTAGGAGAATATAATTTCTCCGGCTTGTCAAAATCACTATCACTCTGTAAACAGAAAGTGTCGTTTACTCATAATTATTCAGCACAAGGTAGCTCTTACTTCCACAACACACCTAAATTTTATGAGCAGAAATGTGTCTACTTTAATATTCTGCTGGAAAAGCAGAGATCAAAAACAAGAATCAATTTGGAAGCAGACAGGAAGGAAACATACGAAATAGTTAACAAAGCCAGGGAACAACACAAAGATTTCTAGAAAATGAAAAATAAGCAAACAGGGGAAAACTTTACCAGGCTCAAGCTTTCATCCCATGATTGGCTTATTTGCATTGCTGCTTGCACTTCCCTAAATAAGCAAAAGGAAAGGCCATCAGTGTTTACAAACAAGACATATGAGGCTAAAGTCTTGGTCTCGCAAAGCACTAACCTTTCATGCGCAGTTTCTCTATTCATTATATCCAGGCCTTCTTCCTATAAGGACAAACATAGGTGCTAACATCATTTTTCACCACATGGTTTGCTATTCCAAATAAAATTAAAAGACTTCTCTACCTTTATTGGCATAATCACAGGTGAGCAGAACATTCTAAGAATGTCAACAACGCCACATCTGTATTTTATCTGCATTCTCCCAAGAACTTTAATCTATATCCAACCTAACCAGAGTTGCATTGTGACTCTTTCTAATATTTAAACCTTCAAAATCAAAATAAAACTGTAAAATCCAAAAATTTCGGATCTGAGCTAGTAAGTAAAATTTACCCTTTTGATTTGATGCAGTCTGCTACTAGGGATACGATTAGTTGAAGATGACAGCAACTGGAAAGAAAAAGTAAACATTTACTATTTTCTGAGTCACAAAGCAGCAGTCTGCTATCAGTTCTGGTGTATGACCGCTTCCTAAATAATTTTTCATATTCTTCTTAGAAATTTAGCGCTTTAAATCCCTGAACATTAATGCATTAGAGGCAGTACATTCAGTCTTTAGAAAGTACACCAGGTGTCCAACCTCAAAGCACCATCTGTCGCTAGACAGCACTGACTTTAGCACTTTTCCCAAATGAATGCAGAGCTGTGTAAATCTGGGGGAAAGACTCTGGACCTTGGAAATATCCATTACCCCACTTACCTAAAATAAGGAACTAGATGAGAACAGAAAGAAAAAACACTAGCGTGATGAATTTTATTACCAATGCACCCAACAGAAGACAGGCTAACAAGCCCAGTGTAATATTTTGTCTGTGACTTATATTCTTCAAAATACTTTAAAATTGAAATGAGATTTATGAACTCTTGAGATTTGATCACAAATACTATCACAATGCAAGCTGTAACTGTTGCTTTCCCTTACATCATCCTTTTCTGAACAACACAAAACTGAAATAATTTGGTGGCCAAATTTCTAATCCTTCAAAAAAAAATCACAATCTTGACACAAAATGTAAGACGGAATTCATAATCAACAGATCTTAAAGGGTTTTAATTGTCATAACATAAACAAGTACTGCATGTAAGCTCTACTATTATAAAACCAAATAAGATACTTATCCTGTTTAAGAGGTCCTATGCTATTAAAACTTTATAAATACTAATGTAGCAAGCAGTATATGTTTATTTATTTAGTAATGGTGGTAGTGGTATTGGGGATTGAACCCAGGGCCTTTGTACTGAGCTACATCTTCAGCCCTTTTTATTTTTTCTTTTGAAACAGGGTTTGCTAAGCCCCTCAGGCTGGGCTCAAACTTGCAATCCTCCTGCCTCAGCCTCCTAGAGTACTTGGAGCACAGGTGTATGCTTCCACACCTAGCTTAACATTTTTTTTAGGCAAAAGCTAAATCAGGTAAAATTTTTAAAAAACTGTCCACTGAAACATAATTTTACTTCAAAAAGTATCCCTCCACTATCCATCCCTTTCTTTTGCTTTTTTTTCTTCTTCTAGGTTTTGAAAAGACAAAAACTTTACAAGGAAAATCCTTTTCAAGTTGTTTTCCATTAGGAAAGCAATATGTATTTACTGGTGAACATTTTTTTTTTTTGGTACCGGGGATCGAACAACCTTGCACTTGGGAGGCAGGCAGCCGAACCACTGAGCTAAATCCCCAGCCCCTGAACTCTTCATGAGGCTAAACACTAAGCTACCAAACAAGCAGAAAGGGTAGGGAGCCTTTCTAATAGACTGACAGGGAAGCACGAACACATGTGTCAGTCAGCGAACCAAAGAAACCCAAAAGGCAGTGAAACTAGGAAAGCCGAAGTGAAGATGGCTACAAACTTGATTGTGGAGAAAGTCAGAAATGTACATGTTGTGCTTACATAATATACAACTTGTCAATTTTAGACAAAACTAGACAAGTGACCCAGAAAGAGGGACAGAGAACAGCAAAGCTGTGTCTAGAACCAGAAATGAGAATGATGTATCAGCTGAAAAAAAAAGCCAAGAGCTTCAAGGAAGTGTTGCTAATGGTGTTAAGTAAAGCTGAGCTTCAAATAAGGAATGAGCCCTTTGACATTAGCAATTAAGTGGACATGAGTGACGTTTTCAAAGGCAGTTTTTTAATAGTATTTAATTGGCGCTAAATTAGGAGACAAAGACTGAGAGTCAGTTGAGTGTTGATTGTGCTCTGGCAAAGCTTGGGGAAAGGAAGGAAAGGGAAGGAGAAACCTATGAAACAGAAAACAGTTTATTTTCCTTGGAATGGGTGAGTCGGGAGAAGAAGGTGGGAGGGAAAGCGCCAGAGAGAAAGACTGAAGCTACAGAGGAGATAATAGCCGAGCGAAGTGACAGGACAGTCAGAGATGTGTGAACCATCAGGGAGTAGTGCCATGTGTGAAGGCGAAGGCATTTTAAGAAGAAGAAAGCTGCCGTTTATACAAGACAAGTGTCTATCTTCTCTGCAAAATGAGAAGGGTCCTGGGCTGGAAGTGAAACATGGTGAGACAGGAAACTGGCAGGGTCTAAATCAAAAAACAGTGACTCAGAATATGGCTTTGGAGAACATCCCGGAACGAGTGGTACCTTAAACCCCACTTTCCCCCAAAGAATTCACCTTCTTTGCCCTCAAATACCAGTTCTTTTGATTTCTCTAGTACTAATCAAGGCAACTCCCTTCCCCTGGTCACCAAGAAACACAATTTCAATCACTTCAGAGTCCTCCTTCTCCCTACACTAACATCTAACTAGCTGGCAAATAATGAAGATCCTATTTCTGCCTGTCTCTCACCTTCCCCTCTTTTCCATTATGTTTGCAAACACTTGACTCTTAGCAGGTTACTATAAAACACAGATAAGAACATTATGATTTAGAGTGCAATGTAACATCATATAGGCAGTGTCATTATTATCATTAGAGTGGAAACCTGGGTAAAGGAGATACAAGGATTAAACTTGGTTTCAAAGGACCGGAAAGCTAGAAAGACAATAGGATGGGGGTGAAGGGTAGCACAAGGATCAACCAAGAGCAGTGAATCACCAAAGCCCCTTCAGAAAATGAGGTATTTGTGAGCAGCCGCTGCCAAAGGTGTTTGTTAGGGAGTAATGAGATGAACCTAGACCAGAGCTGGTAAGAATCTTCACGTTTTACAAAAAAGGTAACTGAAGTGTAGAGAGGAAAATTCATTTTTTCCTTTTTTGCTATGCTACTCTTATCAGGATCACAGTTGTATAAAATGTAAAAACACCTTTCACATAGCCAGCAAAAATAAGTGGTTGCATTTTCCAGTATGCCCCAGGAAGGAGGTGAAGCAAAGCAAATCTCTAGATAGCTAACATTTCCCCCTTCAAGTATTTTTAGTCACTTCAGCTGGAAATCTTTTTAAAATGTGTTATATTTTCCCTTCTCAAACAGATTATACCAAACAGAATGGCACTGGAAGATCTCTATTCTACCACTTATTATTGTGTGATTCTGAGCAAATCACTTATGTTGTCTGAGTCAGCTGGTCCTGCTTTTAAATGGGAAAAATACTTATTGCCCTGCTTACTTCATAGAGGTTGTTATAAAAATTAAACCTGTGACAGTAAGTACTTTGTACCATGTAAAATATCATTCAAGTGTAGGTATTACTGGAATTTAAGAAAAGGTTAATCCTTAAGAACATTATTATATGGCCCTACACTAGTGACACGCTCAGGGACTACCAATAGGTTCTTAGCTACAAACTAATTTTTTAAAAACCTTTTTCAGTTTTACCCTCTCCTCCTTTGCTAGCAGCTATCAGTATACCTTTAAGCCAAGTGTACCTCATCTGATTTGCTATTTCTCAAATACTACTTGGTTGGGAGCTTATTACAATTATGCACAAATTTTAGATGATTCAGAGGTCAGAGAGGCACTCCTATAAATAAAATGATGAACATTTGTGTATAGACTATGGAAATCCAGTCCAGCCATTTAGAGGTCCGTGTGCTTACACCTCAGATGTCTTCCCGAGCACTGTAGCTGCTGGATGAGAGAGTTCTGCATGTGAAGTGCTACTATATAAAAATCTTCCTAATTTTTTCTATAGCAACCATCTAATAATGTGATCTGCAACATCTCTATCAACCACAGTCACAATCAGCAACTCTTCTGAGAACAGAAATACAAACATTTTACAGTTTTTAGAAAATCATCCTCATCTGACACATGAATTTCAGAAATAAACATTCTTCCACTGTATTCTAGGACAAGTAAAAACTACTATCTGTAGGTATAGTTAGAAATTAAGTCTCTTGATTTACCTCCCAAGCACGATAAAAGTAGTGATAAATAACAATCAACAATTTTTTAAAATACCAAATCCTACAGCAAAGAAAAATAAAATTTTTACAGTCTCCTTTTGTAACAAAAGCTGAATGGCCACAGCAAAAGTAGTACACAAGGCAGATAATATCTTTTATTTTTAAAACAATCGTGCATAGCACATGATTTCCAAGGAGACTGTGTTTCGAAGTATTTTCTCTGATCCAAATCACTTCAGACACTTTGCTACTTACCAGACTGTGAGTGTTCATAATTGTTGTACTGTTCCTCCGAGTTTTAAATGTGTAAGGTTGAAAAACCTGTGAAAGGTCACTGCAAAGTAAAAATAAAATGATTAATGTCTTCTAAAGACAGATATCTTTCAGCTGTATTAGCCTCAATTCTGTACTTAACAATGAAATCTTCGAAGTCTCTCAGTTCCCGACAAAGAAGCCCCTCACTGTCCTCTCGTCCTCTGCGGGGAACTGTCCACTGAAGGCATTTGCCAAGAACTGATCTCAGCCATTGGGGGGCGGTTCCTACAGGCGTGGGGCGGAGCCTCAGACGGGTTCAATCCAGCTGGTTCCAGTCAAACCCACGCCCCCAACGGAGCCATTTCTCTCTCCCTCATAGACCCACAATTATGGCATTCTGCGTGTGCCTTCCTTCACCCATTGTAGGGGAGAAGCCAGCCAATTAGCACATCTCAGAAGACCACTGGAAAAACGCGCTGTACCTCTGAAAGCTGCTTAAGTGAATAAACTTACCTCATGTTTTGTCTTCCCTGCCCAGGTTGTCACTTGTGCCAGGAACACCCTCATACTGTCATCTCTCAAGGTCCTTTCCTTCCATACTCACCTCAAACACCATGCCCTGCACGAAGGCACTGCACAAACCTCTACTCACTCCACAGAACTAATGCTACCATCCCCTCCTTTAAACCCGAAGAACACACGGGGAGATGGCACATTTCTTGAGACATATTTTTTTAAGAGAGGGTCTCAGCATACAGCCCAAGCTGCTCTTGAACCCTGGGGAGCTCAAACCCTCACCACCACGCCCAGCTAAAAAATACTTTAATGGTGCTGGGGATCAAACCCAGGGCTTTACACATCTCAAGCTCACTCTACCACTAAACTACATTCACAGCTCTGCTTTCTTGGTTTTGTTTTTCTATAGTACTGGGGATGAACCCAAGGCCTCACATATGCTAAGAATGGGTTCTACCACTGAGCTATACCCTCAGCCCCTACTTTACCTTTTATTAAAGAAAAAGTATTCCCCAGCCAGGCATGGTGGTGTATGCCTGTAATCCCAGCCCTCTGGAGACTGAGACAGGAGGATCACCTTGAATTCGAGGCCAGCCTGGGCTACATAGTGAGTTCAAGGCTGGCCTGAACTATAGAGCAAGACCTTGTTTCAAAAAAAAGCCACCCCCCCAAAAAAGAAAAAGTATTTCCCAGCACAGGAAAATAAAAAGAACAAAACAGTGTGCATGTGTCTTAAACCTCTTGGTACAGAGATGCTTTATTCATCTTTATATAATATCCCCGCAGTGCCTAGTAAAGGCTGTGTCTACGATTACAACAGTTCAAGAAGTTCAGTGGCTCAGTGCTTGCCCAGCACGCACAAGGCCTAGGGTTCCATTTCCAACACTGAAAACAAAAGAGCTGAAGGATTTTCCGAATGCGATTGGATTGGGCTCCAAGGGACCACTGAGATTGCATATTTCAGTTCCCCTAATTTTTACATGAGAAAACAGATTCAGAAAGGTTAAATGACTCATTCATGAGCACAGCTAGTTAGTGAAAATTGGGATAAGGCTAAGGTCTCTTCGTGCCTCTTCTGTCATATCATAGTACCTGTCAAATAATTACTTAAATTGTGATTCACAAAACAGTATGTTTTTTTTTAATAATTATCTAAATGCAGGTCAGTAGGACCATCCAAGTCCCTAGCAACCGCTTGCTTAACAGATTGTAAAAGACAGAAGGGGGGAGGGGAGGAGGGAGAGGTAGAGAGGAAGAGAGGGAGGGAGGGATGGAGAGAGAGGGAGAGAGGGAGAGAGAGGGAGAGAGGGAGAGAGGGAGAGAGAGCGAGAGAGAGCTCGCAATTTGTTCTTAATGTATATTAAAAAAAATGCAAAGCCAAGAATAGCATCAGAAAAAAAAAGTCACTCCATCACTCCTCAGTTCCAAAATTATATTTAATGAAAAAAAGGTAAACCTGTTTTGTCACCAAAATACAGATGTTATAATCAGTTCAAGAGACACAAATTATCTTTCTATGCCTTCACTGTGCTTGATTAATATAGTTCTGGCTAATTGTACTCCCACCTCATTTTATGGACTAATGCCATTTTTGAAGGGTTCTCACAAGTTGGTTCTCTACCTAAGATGAATTGTCTATTTATAAAAGTAAAATGTAATGGCTTAGTAGGTTAGCCGACCTAACTTTTTCACTATTGCAAGATTCTACTTTTAAATAGACTCTCTGGTGTCTTATTCACATGAAAACACGAGACTCTGCCACTGAAATTAAAGGGTCGATTCTTTCCATTGTTGTCTCAAACCTGTGTTTCCACTAACCTAAGCTACAAGCCATCTTTCTTTTTTATTCACTGAAATACACTTCTGGCAGCTTTAGAATCTAAAAACATTTGGGCAAATCCAAATCACTTAATGTGACATGAACACACCGTTCAATTACAAGTTATTAAATAAATTGTGATGTATTAAAGCAAACCTCTGCTAATGCCAGGGTTCTAAACTCAGATTGGAAATAGCAGCTCTTACAGACAAGTGTCAAGTTGCAAGCCTAGTTCCAGGGGCTTCAGTCTGACATTCCCTGGTGTAAACTGGCTAGGGCAAGCAACCTGTCAGAAGAGCCAGAAGCTTTCCGCAGTTCCTTTTAGAGTGGGACAACATAGTCCCCAGGTGTGGGGGGTGGCGTTTCCCCGATATGGACCAGAGTTTGAGGTCAAACTTTCGCTCCCCACTGGGACCCAAGTCATTGTCAAGCATACAAGTCTCCAACCCTTCGGTTTGGAGAGCTCAAACCCACACCTAAAAGAAAGACTGCCTGCAAAGGGTCCAGAAGCATCCTCCCCACTCCTGCTCACCTGAGCCCGTGGATCAGGGGAGCGCTGTTGGACCTCCTCAGGGTTCTCCCACGAGATATGCCAGGCTCAAAGTCCAGATCCATTTTCTCCTGAGCCATGTCAGAGACTTGCAGGCAGGCACAGCGGGCAGTACTCAGCTCCTGGTGCTTAGCTATGGGCTCGCAAGACTCACTGCAGGACTGAGCTTCTGGGGACTGGCAGCTGGGGGCGGGGGCTAAGGGGCGGAGGCTTAGGGGCGGAGAAAATAGAGGAGGGAGGAGGAGGGAAGGAGGAAGCTGATGAGGGAGGACCGCGGTGAGAAAGGGGAGAAGGGTGGAGGTTGTGTTGGAAGGCGACAGGATGAAGAAGGGGGACGGAGGAAAGAAGGGCGGCGGGAAGGCAAGCGCAGGGAAGAGGGAAAAGAGGAAGAGGGATGGAAGGAGGATAGATGGAAAGGCAGGGCAGAGGTAAGAGCGGGCAGAAGCGGGAAAGGAGGAAAGACGGGAGGAAAATAGCACAGGACGGGAAGGAAGGAGGAGGAGGTATGGGGAAGAGAAGAGAGGAAGGCCAGCGGGAGAAAAGAAGGGGAGGAAACTAGGCAATGGCAGAACTCATGCCGCTCTCTTTCTCGCCGCGGGCCACTGGCCGGGACCGGCTATAGATGCCGTGGCTGCCTGGGCAGCGTTAGCAACCAGGACCCGACAGTCGGGCAGGGCCTGGCTGAGAGGTCTCGGCAGATCGAGCTCCCCATGGTCGGGGACTTTGTCCAGCCTCCCATGCTCCGGGATCCGGTCCAGAGACTCCTCAGCCCGGGGATCGGGGCTACTCCCGACCCTGGCCCCTCCCGCCTCGAGGACTGGAGGAAAGATTCCTCCCCTCGGCCACCACCGCGGTGCCTTCTCTTCCTCTCAGGTTCTGATGGCCCGGGGAACCCTAAGGGCCAAGATCAATATCTATAACCTGCCACCTCTATAACCTCCCACGCTTCGCTTCGGAAGCCGGAGCCTCCGTGGGGCCAGTTCTTCCGCGTCCGGGCACCCATTAAGTCCTGCGCATGCGTCGAGCGGCCGCTCCGATGAGGGCCTGAGGGTACAGAGCATGCGCGGAAGCCCCGCCCCCCCCCCTCCAGCCCCTCAAAGGGAAGGAGCGTTTCCGGGAGCCGGTGCCTTCTTCTATGGCATTGGCCCGGGAATCCTGGCGCCCAATTTCAAAAAGAGCCAATAGTTTGGAGACTCTGAAGCATCATATTCAGGATTTTGAGCCAATATTCAAGGGCAACAGGAACATGGGATTTCCAAGTTTATTCTTAGCTTGTACACTCCAATCTTTATGATCCCCACTCATTTCTTTTCTTTTTTTTTTTTTTTTGGTACCGGGGATCGAACTCGGGTCCTTGCGCTTGCGCAGCAGGCAGCGAAACCACTGAGCTAAATCCCCAGCCCCTCCCCACTCATTTCTTAAATTCCTCGATTTTGTTGGGTTTTGGACGGGCTGATTTCTTTTTCAAACATCCATTTAGACACACTAATTATATATATTATATGTAATATGTAATATATGTAATATGTAATATATAATATGTCATATATATATTCCTAGAGCTTACAGAGAACCTAACTAATCATGACCTGGGGAGTGTGAGATTGAATTCATTTATTTATTTAACAAACACCTACATAGCACTTACTATGTATCAGGCAGTATTCTAACAGATGTAGAAGTATTAACTCATTTAATGATCACCAGTTGAGTTGCCCTTTAAAGCACTTTCGGTTAATTTCCTTTTTTTCAATTTTTTTTTCAATTTTTTTTTTTTTTTGCAGTACTGGGGATGGAACTCAGGACCTTGCACTTGCTAGGCAGGCGCGGTGCCACTGAGCTACATCCCTGGCCCTTGGATAATTTCCTTTAATCTACTAGCTAGATTAGAAAAAGCAAACTGAGCAATTTATGTATTTTTATCTCAAGGTCTCAGCACACAGCTTGCTCAAAAAGTCATAATAAATGTCTTTGTTCACAATAGCTACTAAACAACCATTTGTTGATCACATGCACAGTCCTTATCTTTGAGAAGTCAAACCGTTTATTGAATTCTGAACTTGCAGGAGCTTAGTTTAGAAGCTCAAGGATATGTGAGAAGAAGGATGCTTCTTTGGCCATTATTTCCAGGTTTGATTCACATTGTTCTTGTATACCTGGTCTTACCTAGTTTTCTTTACCCTTCATGTAAATCTTTTGGGAAGTTGGGGGTGTTTGTGGCCTGGGGTTCAACTTATATTTGACGCTCTTGTGATAACTAAAGCCTGAAATGTAACTTTAAAGTTTCCAAGTCAACTGGTAAAATAAAGACTTGATTGTGACATGTTTGTGAGACGCTTTTTACAGGTAAAGAGGCCTTGGGCAGATGGCACAGACTGGGACATACAAAGAAAGCAGTAGCATGTTGTAAGGTATAGATTCAAACATATCAGTGGCCTGTTGCTATGGAACAGGAAGCGCTGATCACGAAATACAGCCAGGTTGGTACAATAACGTGTAGGCAGAAATGGAGAGAAGTAAAAGTAATGTCTTTATATGTTGTGTTTGCCATGTAACCTACAGAATTTCTTTTTGGTTTTGTAGTACTTGTTCCTTTTGATATTCCAACCTGTGTATGTACTATGAATCCTGTTTAGAATTTTAGGTTTCTGACATGTAGCTGCTCTCTAGACGAAGAAAAGTACCTCTCTTTGGTAATAGCTGAAACCACATTGCCATCATATATATAGTTTTACAATACTGTACTGCCCCATTTTCTAGAAACATTGTCCCTTAGTTGTTCTTCCCTTGTTGTTGTATTATAGCTCCTGTATTTTCTTCATGTTATTTATACATTGTTTTCTAAAAAATTAGATTTCTGTAATATTTAAGCATATGAAATTTTGTCTATTTATTCAATATATATTCATTAAACCTTTCTGCCTGCCAAGAAGATTAATAAACTCTGTGAATAGTAAAACAAACCGTAGAATGGAGGTAAGAACCACTTGTTTACTGATGTACTGCAGTATGTTATTGAGACAGTTTGTTGTTATGTTATTGAAACAGTTTAGTTTTGACCTTCTGTTCTCTCTTTACTGACTTGCGTTCACACTACTTTACTCAGTTTTAAACACCACCTTTTGTAAAATTTTCAGGTACTCTAAGAATTTTAACAGTGACTTTCAAATCTTGGTACTAGCCTGGATTCTGCTGCTACCTATGTACCATTAATCTCTGTGGAATTTTATGAACTGTAAAATGGAAATGATTTATTCCCTTCCCAAGACAGCTGGGAAGGACAGGTTTCTATTCATTCTTACAATAATAAATATGTATCCAGAGCTTATGAGTACAGAAATAGTATACAGGGAAACACTCAGAGGCACCTCATCTGTCTTTTCACTCACTATACTGAAGAACAGAGGAATCTTGGCTTTGCCACTTAGTAGTTGTAATTTGAGTTACCCCCTGGGCATTGGTTCCCTCCTTTGAAAAATGAGCATTGTGGTGCTGCCTACCTCACAGAATTATTGCAAGCATTCAATGCAATCACATATTTAAAATGATTAGGACAGTACCAGGCACATAAGTGCCCAATAAATAGTAGCTATTATTAACCTATCATACATCAGGAATGGAGACTCAAAATCATATACTCATGTCTGGGATTTAGGTAATCTAATTCTGCCTAATACAATCAAGCTTTTCTTATTCTATTCCCAGGGTATATGAAAAATAAATGATTATGATCATACATATCATAACTTGTCACGAATTGTCTCCAGACAATCCCATTATTTTAAGCTCACCACTGACTGAGCAGAGTTGATGATTGAACCATTTGAGATAAGTATGTGAAAACGTCTATAAAAGTGAAAAGTGCTATAGCAATGTTAATAACTCCCATTTCACTAGGTACAGTTACCTTCTCTGCCATTTCTCTGTCTGGTTCCTAAAATATTTGGTTTTACAATATTTAACATAGGGTTATCATTTCAGTACTCAGTGTGGCTTGCTAAGCAATGGTGAAAAATTCTAAGACAGTAGTTCTTTAAATGTTGCCAGGGATTTAGCTCAGTTGCTCCGCGCCTGCCTTGAAAGCACAAGGACCTGAGTTCGATCCCTGATACCTGGAAAAAAAAAAAGAAAGAAAAAAATGTGATGAGTCATGACAGTACTATTAAAATGTGCTTAAGCTCTAATGCTGCCTGAGAGAGAAATACTGATTTGGTTGATTCTCAGATATTTAAGCAAGTACCTCTCATTACTTTAACTGCCATCTTTGTGAATTAGCTTTATTCCTTAGATTAAAAACTATGAAGAGCCACATTTTATCCAAAGTAAAATACATACTGTATGATTATGGTAAAAAAAAAAAAAAAAGAAACCTCAATGAAAACAATTTTCACATTTCATTCAATTGGGTAAGCACCTTACCAAGAGCCTGAGCACTTAGTGGTGGTATTTTTCCCCGGACATTAGGGGTTTGTTGTTGTTTTTAATTACAAAGGTGTAGTGTGTTTGCTGTCACAGGATGGGAAAATGTGTTAGGGAGGTTAACAAGCTTGTTGGCCTCAGTCATAAGGGGCTGATGAGCTAGACAACACTGAGAAAACTGAGTATTAGACACAGGGCAGAGAGGATGGTGCTCCCATACAACTCTCTCTCCGTCCCACCCCCCCCCTTCCTAAATAATAGCCGAGAATGCCATGCCAAGGTTAGCATAGGAAGAGATGAATGACCAGCCGAGTCTGCACTAGGAGGAGAGAAGAGAGGGACAGACTGGCTAGGCAAAGGTGGCTTCTGACTGTGCGTGCACCCCTGGCGAGGCTGGCAAAGGCTCCTGAGATGACGCTGATTGCCTGCATAGTAAGCCTGGGGCACCTGGCAGGATACAGAGCGCGTGCGCAGAGGGCCTGGGCCCAATGAATTCTAATAGGCGTCAAGCTCTAGTTTTGTTTTGGCTGGAAAGGCTTACCAGGGGTGGCTATGGTTTAGATAGTTAAAGAATGCTGGGTACAGTGCACATGCCTGCAATCCTAGCTCTGGGGAGGCTGAGACAGGAAGATTGCCACGAGTTCGAGGCCAGCCTGGACTACACAGTGAGTTGAAGATTAGGCTGAACTATATAGCGAGACTCTGTCTAAAAAATAAAAAAAAAAGTGAAAGGTGAATTTGCGGCAGTGACTGATATGGATTTCTCATTTGTATTTTAGTTGTGCAGGCCCCCAGAGCATCATGAAGATAGGAGGTTTGGAACTAGATCTGCCCAACTTTGTGCCCATTGGTATTAGGGTACCAGGGTATAAAGGTGAGCACTTCTACTCATCTAAGAGCTTTCTCCTCTCTTCTCTTTTTTCATTTGCCTCTCCCCTTACGTTATCTCCCCACCAAGACTTCTTGCCTTTATGTGCTCATCCTCGACACAGACATGGCACGAAAGAAGATGGAAGTGGACTTGGAGCTGCTGCTGAATTCCACCACCACAGATGGCAGCAACTCAAGAGGACTCAACAGCATCCCTTTGAGCAGTGGATTTGGGTGAGCAGAGTTGAGATACAGGAGGAGGCAAGTGGGCTGGGGGAAGGTGTTTGGATAGTATTTCCATCCTTTTATTTATCGAGATTTTGCAGGTATTGCCCGTGTTCCTGGTATGCGGAGATCCTACCCTCAGCCTGGTGGAGACAGGGCATGAGACAGGCTGATCCAAGGGAGAACTCATATTCCGCCCCAGGCTGATCCTGCACGTCCTCTAGCAGTCCACCTAGACCCGGAAGCAGCCAAACCAATTGGTGTAGAGAGTGATTTCTTTCTAATTTCACCCCATCTCTTACTCCTTTGAAGAAAATGATTGTGCCCTCCACTCTGCCTCTAGCTTTTGTCAGGAGCAATTTTGCACCCTCGAGATGAAAATGTTTGTCAATCAAATAGTGGACCTTTTTATATTTGTTTTTACTTGAACAAAAAGTTTAGGTACCACGGAAACTTGATTTCCTAAATTATGGGCTCACGGTGGGTAATAGTTTTGCCTTAGGAGGAAGAAAATTGGTTCTTGGTGACTTTTGAAAAAAGTTTACTCTTTCTATATATAAAGCACAGATACACATGTGGTACATAAACAGGCAGTGTACCGCTGGCGTTAAAATTTGGTAAGTGGCAAGTGATGAGGGGAAAAATTGTCTGAAAAAGGCTCTGTAGAAGTCCGATAAAGCAAAAAAAAAAAATTTAGAAGTTCTGCAGTAAATGAGAGTTAACTATTTCTTGCACATAACAGAAGGTCTGGCACTATTAACGCTCATTATTTCTCCAAGTTTTGTTGGGTTTTTTTGGTACCGGGGATTAAACTCAGGTCCTTGCACTTGCGAGGCAGGCGGCGGAACCACTGAGCTCAATCCCCATCCCTTCTCAAAGTTTTAAAATGAAATTCTGGGGCTTGGGATGCGGTTTAGGGTTAGAACACTTGCTTACCGTGTGCTGCCATGGGTTAGATCCCCATCGCCACACACACAAACACAAAACAGATCTTAGCGCTCACATCCAAGTTTCAGAAGGGTTTCTAGATGTTATAAAAAGCCTGAAAAATGCATTTACTACATGTTACTTACTTTGCTTCTCACCTGCTATGGTATTATATCCATTGATAGTTGTAATGTACATATCATAGACTGTCAGAGAGCAAATCAATCCCCTTTGTTTTACGTATTAAGAAACTGAGCCTCTCCACCAAATCTACAAAATGACATAATGACAGAGCTAGTTCTAGGAACCAGTGTCTCCTGGCTCCTAAAATCTAGTGTTCTGTCCACTACTGATAAATATCTAAGCTGATTAAACAAATGCAGCTTTCAAGTCATTTGAGGCATGAAAGAATATATTGTCACAAAATGTAAAGGAAACTAAAATTGACCAGAAAAAGAATACATTACCTTTTAAAAATAGGCAGATGGAAAAATAAAGGCAGCAGGCATGTTGTGTGGAGAACAGTCACATTTTATAGACTCAGGATTTTGCTCTAATCCTGCTATGGGAATAAAAGGATTGATATGAGACCCAGCCTGCTGGTAGAAGAGAGAAATAAAGTTTTCTTCCCTTGTTTTTTTGGGAGTCTGGGGATCACTGAACCCTAGGGCCTTAGCACATGCTGGGAACGTGCTCTACCGCTCAGCCACACCCAAGCTTGTGGATATTGGTTTTATTGGGAAGGCTTTCTGAAAAGAAACAGGTTGCAGAGAGATAATGGAGGTTATATGCTTGCAGAAATACATGAATCCTGTTTAATGTATTAAACACTCCAGGGAGGGAATGCTTTAGACCCACTTCTCTAATCCTCAAAGTCCTTGAAGCAAAGAGAGAGCTCAGTTATGCTTTCATACGTTGGTTTGTTGTATAATAGATTTGAAGTTTTTAAAAAATCATATTACAGTATATAGAGTTGCATTTAATAGCTTACAATCCCGATGCATTAAATTCATTTGTACAGAAAGGTGACGCTTAATAGGATACTTATCTGGTAGGAGCTGAAGATATAGAGACTGCAAAGTAGACCAACTCCAGAGGCTCTGTTCTATAAGAACAAGGTAAGAAGTAACATAGGAATTGTGTATATAGCATGCCTGAGATCAGGAAACTTTCCCAACTGATCTGAGGTCATATTTTGTGCTGTTGTAGTGAGCTTGGGGTGTGTTCAAAGAAATTATTCTGAAGCAAAAAAAATTAAAATATGGGCTTGGATTACACTGAGCCTTAGATGAATTCATTTTCACCTCAATTCTTTACAGTTACCAATGTACACTGCCTGTTTTTCTCACTTTCCCTTACTTAGGCCTCTAGTACTTGGTGTCTTGCCTCTTTCTAAATTATACCAAATATGAAAGTATTCTGTCTGTATCTTGCTAAATATTGTTGTACCTCTTTCAAGTAATTTTCTAATTTTTCTTGATGTTTCAATAAACTTGCAAATGTCAAACGTTTTGAACCTCTTGCATTTTTATACTTGGCTGACTTTTATTATTGGTGTCAATAACTATATTTAAAGGTAGTACGTTTTTTGCCTCTTTATGTGATTCTTATTAATTTAACAGGGAAAATAAATACTCCAAAGACTTAAATGTGTGGTAGAGTAAGATAAGTGCTTAGGGAGGTAAAGGAAGTGCTAGAGGAATTCAAAGAAGGAAGTGAGAAATTGAAGCAGGATTGGTGAAGGATAAGGAAAATGTTCGAGAAAGTGGCATTTGAGATGGACCTTCATGGATCCATAGAATGCGCAGTGGAAGAGAGGAGCCAGATGGCTGGGACAGCATTTCGAGTGCACAGAACAGGCTTAGAAGCAGGAAAGCATATGTGTATTTCAGAGAGCTGGATGGTCAGCTTTACCTGCAGCACTGGCTTCCACATGTTTATCTGCTGACTAGTGCATTCCAAGTGAAGTTTTTGTTGTTGTTTTTTTTTAACCAATCCATATTTTTAGAAAGTTAAGTGCATGGGCCAGGGATTTAGCTCAGTGGTGCCACTGCCTGCCTCGCAAGCACAAGGTCCCGAGTTCGATCCCTGGTTACAAAAAAAAAAAAAAAGTAAAGTGCAGCATACTTAAAAAATATGTAGTTGCTAATTGTCCTTTCCTGAGCAAGACTATACTTTACTCAGATTGTTAGTCCCTTACATTTTTAGTATCAAATTATAAGTGAAACTTTCATGTTGGTCAGTGATGGGATTCCTTAAAAATGAATTACCATTATTTTAATTATACATATTTATGAGGTACAGTGTGATAATTTAATATGTACGTACAGTATATAATGATAAAATGAGACCTAGTTAGTATTTCCGTCTCCTTAAACATTTTTTTTTCAGAACCAGAATCGAACTCAGGACCTTGCACTTGCCAGGCAGGTGCAGTGCCTCTGAGCTATATTCCTGGCTCTAACATGTTTTTAGTTTTTTTGAGGACCGGGTCTCACCATGTAGTTTGGGATAGCCTTGAACTTGTTACATAGCCTAAACTAGCCTCAAACTTGTGCTCCTCCTGCCTCAGCCTCTTGAATGCTGAGATTATAGGCATGTTCCAGCCACCACGTCTGGTTTTCCTTAAACATTTTGTAACAATTTAGATTAGCACAGAACAATTGTACCTATTTATGAGGCTCAGTGTAATATTTGGATATATGCATAAAGTGTGTATTGATCAAGTGAGGATAATTAGCATTTCTATATTCTTATTACTTTGTATTTGGAGCCTTCCAGCTCTTCTGGTGATTCATAAAATATATAAACCTTTGTTTTGAACTATGGCTACTCCACTGTGCTGTACTTGGTAAGAGAAAAAGAAGATGTGGCAAGTATGTTAGTGCCTAGATTTTGTTTCACAGTTTTACTAGTCCCTGAAATTCAAAAGTGTGGAGACAAATTGTAATGGCATTGAATGTCATAGTAAAGAGTTGAATTTGGTGGACAATGATGAAAATCCCTGAAAGTTGTGAGCAGGACAGCAAGCTATTCTTCAGGAAAGTTACCCTACTGGTAGTCTGTGGATAGCTTGGAGCAGAGAGCAAATAGAGGAGAGAAGGCTAATGGGACCTTATTGTGCAGTCTGTGGAAAAGGAAAAAGGGTTTGAGTTGGTTTTTGACAAGGAGCCTAAAAAGAAAAAAATGCATATGAAAGAGTGTATAGAGGTAAAACGTAAAAGACTGGTACCTAACTGTATAAAAGCAGCAAAAAAGAAAACGCTAAAATGATATTTTTTGTCTCAACAAGTGTACAAAGGAAGCCCCCCACCTGTAGAATCTCCTTCCTTGCACTAACTAGGCTGTGGAGGACAGAATCTGTCCCCTCAGACATCAGCAAGCCGGTGGACAGAGCCACTGAACCCCATTTTGGAACCCTCCCCAAGGCACTGACAAAGAAGTAGCATCCTCCAGCCATGAACCACCTGGACTCCAGCAGCAACCCGTCCTCCACTACGTCCTCCATGCCCTCTTTGCCAGGACCCTTCCCAACATCATCCAACCCATCCAGTGCCACCACAACCTCCATCCCCTCACCTGGCCAGTGGGACAGCAGGTTCAACTTCCCAGACATTTCAGTCTTTCCACAGGCAGCCCCACTCCAAGATGCTGCTGACAGTGCCCGCCCAGTGACCAGCCAAAAGCCGAGGTGCTGGAGAATCATGAGGTGGAGGCTGAGGAGCCAGAGGCTGGCAAGTCAGAGGCAAAAGATGATGAGGATGGGGTGGACAACCTGCCGAGCTCCTGCTGGCCCTGGTGGGGCCCCATCTCCCACAAGGCCAGCCAGACCAGCATATACCTGCAGGAGTGGGCCATCCCCTTCAAGCAGGTGGAGCTGGGTGAGCTCACTGGGCAGGGCTGTTGGGGCCGGGTGCACCGTGGCCACTGGCATGGCGAGGTGGCCACTCACCTGCTGGAGATAGACGGCCAGAACCAGGACCACCTGAAGTTGTTCAAGAAGGAGGCAATGAACTTGTGGCAGACATGGCACGAGAACATGGTGCTCTTCTCAGGCGCCTGCAGGAACCCTCCCCACCTAGCCATCATCACCAGCTTCTGCAAGGGGCAGACATTGCAGTCATTTGTGAGGGACCCCAAGACATCGCTGGACGTCAACAAGACGAGGCAGATTGCTCAGGACATCATCAAGGGCATGGGCTACCTGCATGCCAAGGGCATCATGCACAAAGACCTCACACCCAAGAATGTCTTTTATGACAATGGCAAAGAGGCCATCACAGACTTCAGACTGTTTGGGGTCTTGGGTATGGTCCGAGACAAATGGCATGAGAATCAGCTGAAGCTGTCCCATGACTGGCTGTGCCACCTGGCCCCTGAGATTGTGCACAAGATGACCCCTGGGAAGGACAAGGACCAGCTGCCCTTCTCCAAGGGTGCAGAAATCTATGCATTTGGGACTGTGTGGTGTAAGCTAAAAGCAAGAGACTGGCCCTTTAAGCACCAGCCTGCAGAGACCCTGATCTGGCAGATCAGAAACAGGAAGGAATGGAGTAGGTCCTGGGCTCCATCAGCTTGGGGAAGGAAGTCAGTGAGATCCTGTCTGCCTGCTGGGCTTTTGACCTGCAGGAGAGACCCTGCTTCAGCCTGCTGGTGGACCTGCTGGAGAAGATGCTCAAGCTGAACCGGTGGCTCTTGAAAGCCGGGCACTTCTGGAAGTCAGCTCACATTAACAGCAGCAAAGTTGTACCCTGTTTTGAGAGGTTTGGCCTCAGTGCCCTGGAGTCCAGTAACCAAAAGATGTAGCCAGATGTGCAGTTGTTCTGCTGCCTGCTTGTTTTTTAAATGTGTTTTAAAAACACACAAACAACCATCACAGCAACAACAAAAATGAGAAACCACTCCACCTGTCCAACAGTGCAAACCAGGAGGGCAAGTCCTCCATTCCGACTGTTTGTCACAAAGACACATGGGTCCCCGGAGATAGAACCATTCCTGCCATCTTAGTAAGACCCCAACAAAAACCAGACTGGTCCTAACTGACAGCAAATGTTCAGACATATATTTCTGCCAAGTGAACTTGATGTTTTATAATAGATAATAACACAGTCCGTGCATAAGGGCACTTGCACCTGGGGATGGAAGAAGGCACTTGGAGAATCTTATAGGGCTGGGGAGCCCAATGCTTGGCCAGAAGGAAGAAAAACGTGGTTATGGCTGGGTTAAGGGTAGGGCTGGAAGAGGTGGGAGCACAAGGTTTGACCTGGCCCCTGCTTTGGCCAGGTCCCTTCCTTGTCTTGCCGAGAAAATCCTGCCTAGGAACTGAGGCAAATTACAGGGGATAAGAAGTCCTGGAGACCTTGGCTTCACCTTCCAACCCCTCTAATCCAGTGGAACAGTAGACAGAATCCAAGTAATATCGGGACAGATCTAGTGGTTCCTAGCCAGGGCTTCTGTTGCCAGCTGAGGTGATATCTTTGAGCTAGTGTTTCTTGTGTGAAGCCCTGGGGCAAACCCTGGGAGCCAGGGCCCCTTGCCGGCATCTGACCCTACAGCTGAGGGCACCATAAGGCTTAATGAGTGAGAACAGAGAAAATGGTGGAGGGAGAGAGAGAGGCAGAAGTGGACAGCAAGTACCTGAACCCCTGTCCTAGCTACAGGGTGACCCTGGCACTTTAGAAACCCATTGTCAGTCATGGTAGAAGGTTCTAGACCTGTCCACCTCTTCCACTTCCCTGCCCTAGTGAAACTCTTTTTCCTCTTCCAGATTGTTTAGTCCAAGGTCTAAGCTCAGCTGAGGGCATGAGACTGTCCCTCCCTGTCTCCCCACCTCATGAGCCCTGTCTGCAGACCCCTTCCCAACAGTGCCAGGCCTTCTGCTTATGTCAAACGAGTAGGAGGAGCTGGATCTGGAGAGTCTTTGATGTGAGAGCATCCCGCCTGGCCTTGCCAGAGACCATCACCTACAGAGGAAAGTTCCCAGTGGCAAAGAGGCCCACCAGTGGAGGTTAGGCTGCAGGAGGCTCCACATCCAGAAAGGAAAAGTGCGATGGGAGTGGACGGGGTTGGATCCAGGCTCTGTCCTCTGAGCTCAGAAGAGGGTGACCATGTGGCTGCTCCCCTTCAGTGAGATCCATCTGGCAAAGCCACAGTCTTCAGAGCCATTCCTAGCATCAGAGTCCAGTTCACAAGTCACATAAAATGAGCCACTGATGAAAAGCTGTGGAGCTGCCTCTCTACTCTCCATGCCAAGCAGCCTTGCTCCCCTTGGGTCGGGGGCTTTGAAATCTTTCCACTCAGTGTGGGGAGAAGAAAGAGGAGCCATAAAACATTTGGGTTCAGCTCTGTGTGGATGACTTGTGTTCCATGACAGGACTGTAATTTTACCCCCATGATCCCTTTGGTCTCCCACATCACCTCTCCAGAGTGACCTTGCCAACCCACATGTGTGATATGTGGCCATTGCCTCTA